AAAAACATATTTTTAAACTTTACAGCTGGCCCTTTGAAGTCTATTTCTGGATGCACTGGTTTGGCAAATGTAAGGCCTATCTGGGGGGTGGTCAAACTCCCACCAGACAGTGCCTCTGAAGTTAATGGTAAAAGAATGACAACTCCTCACCACTGCTGTGGCCATGGTGCCTGTCTTTGGACTAAGGGAGAATTTTATGGCAGGGGAAGCAGAAGGAGCTAAGAAAAGGGCAAAGAAATAAGCCCTCTTTCTGACTACTAGTTTAGGTTTTTCATGACTATGAACTTCCAAAAGGAAATTTAAGTCTCTTTTTAATTGACAGATAGAGAACCTACATCTTTGCAACATATCGCTAAAGGTCATATCCTGTGTTGGAGGCCCTGGTGGCTGAGTCCCTGGAACTACAGGCCCCTCTATGGGTGTCAGGATACACCCTTGGAAGGGTGGGGCTATTAAGGAGACCCTGAGTCTGCTATGCTGCCTTTTAAAAATCTTGGGGAAAAGGAGACTTCCTTTTTTCAAGGAGAACAATGATTCTGCTAGGCTTTTTTTCTCCTATATACCTTTTCCTTTGAAGTTAAAATCTTTTGTATTGTGGGCCTCCCCTGGTGGCGCAGCGGTTGAGCACTTGGCTGAGAGGCTGCCCAAAGCCTCTGCAGCGCTGGTTCCTTCCCCCGGCCGCCGGCAAGGGTCCCACCAAAAAAAATAAATAAATAAAATCTTTTGTATTGTACATCTCTGCTTAGTTTTATAAACCTCTCCCTCATTTATTTTTTGATGAGTAGGAGAGTAGAAATAATTTTCTGAAAAGGACTTATCAGCATGAAACCATGAGGATGGGTAGGTGCTGCAAGGCCAGAGGAAGTGGTTGGGTCAGACCTCTGTAGATGGGGCGTCTTCTGGAGACTGACAGTAAGTGGCATCATGATATGCCTTTTCTACCTGAGAACCAACAGATGCCTCCCAGGTCTCTGCTCTACTTGATTCCAACAATTTGACAAGCAAAACCCAAGGCTTTAGGCTTTAGAAAATACAGTTGTGCTGTCTATTTATAAGAAGCTGCTATTGTACTAGGTACCTTTATTTTATATTTTATTTTATTTTATTTATTTGTCAGACTTTTCACTTTATTTGAAGTTGAGCAGTTGGGATCAGGGTAAGAAGCAGAAGGCTTGAGCTCTGGATGAGGCCTGAGTTGGCAGTCCCCCTGAGGAGGGCCTGTCAGTGTTGGTTGAGCAGCTCCTAGTGGCTAAAACCACAGCACATACTTCCAGAAAATCTGGTGTTCCTTTGGGATCTGAGGAAGCAGGACTCAGAGGCTGGGGTACACCGTTGGCAGGGAGCATGCAGGGCTGAGGCTGAAGCAAATAGAGACCAGGGCTCCAGTGCTTCATGATAGAAGACTGAAGAGGAATCTTTAGCTATTCCATCACCCCTCACCTAAAAGTTCATGCTGACCCTCATATTCATCCATTCTCAAAATCAGAAGGCCCTCCCCTTGGGAGCAGTTTACCCCACTGCTTCCAATTAGAATGGAGACCCTACTCTCCACATGGCTGTGGGGGGCATCACAGCTTTGATTAGCCTTGCTCCTCTGGGAGGGTGGCACACTCCAGGTCATTCACAGCCCAGTCTGTCTGCAGACACGACTGGCCTCCATTCTGTCTCTAGGAGGTCTTCCACGCCTCACCCACAGCTGTCCCAAGACATTTATTGAGGGAGGTGTGGAGAGCCTGATTGACCCTTACCTTGTACTGGAAATACAAAGGGCTTTGGAATCAGGACTCCCAAGTCATTTTAATCCTATTTACTAGCAACATAGGCACCATATTTTAGAGGCTACAAAGATGAGCAGAAATTGTGCAGTTATATGTTATTTAATTCTGGGTGCAAAAGGTCTCTGACAGTTGTGGGTACTCTGAAGCGATGGCACCCATAATCTTAGACAACAATACAGGGGGGAACGGGGGGTGCTACTGGGGACTGATCTTCTTTCACACTTTATGTTCACAGTGACTGACTTCTCTTTCTCCCAGCCACAAATCAGAAGGATACTTTCCTCTGGTTCCCTTGTCACAAGAGACAGTAGTTGTCTATGTCCAAAGAACAGAGCCCTTTAATTCCCCAGAGCTCCAGCAAGCCCAGCTTCCCCAGATTATGTGCTTTGCAGTCAACAAGAACAAAACAACCTGAAAAGTCATCCTAGATGCTGGGCCCTGCCACCCAGTCGGTCCACCTGATCCTAGAGCCAGTGTACCCCAACCTGTTCCCAAATCCCCAGTCCCTCTTCCTTACCATGCTATGCGTGCTCCATCACCAAGTGTCACCCACATCAGTTGGAGGAGTCTCCATCCAGAACTTGACTCCTAGGTGCTAAGTCCCCTCTGCTGGCTGAACTCAGAATCACTGCTTTGCTTTTGCTTTTTTTTTTTTTTTAATTAATTAAGGTATTTTGTTGACCATTTTCTTTCTCCCTCCCACTCTCCCACTCTCCCACTCTCCGCCTTTCTGACTGCCTCCATAATCCTTGCTAAGTTTCTTCTGGTGTCTGTTATTCCTATTGAGGTCTATTTCTGCTAGGGGACCAGGTCAGTGCTGGTTAAACAAGTGGCATGATGTAGGGTTACAGGGGCCCCTGAAGATGTGGGTACAGGCACGGCGGGGCACACATCTCCACACCTAAACCTTCCTGGCCTCTCCCACCAGCAGTTGTCTCAGAAAGACAAATGTTGTGGCTTGGAACAAAGCACTTATTTATAAACACATTGCAGGCATTATGTCATATAGTCCTTCATCAGGCCGTGAGGCAGCTTCTCTTTATTGCTAGCCCTGTCTCTCAGGTGACAAAGACCAGGTTGTTGGTGGCCTCCGGGCCAGGGTTCCCGTCTCTGGCATCAGCACCATACTATGAACCACGCAGGGCTTCTCAGGCGTTCCAGACTTTCCCAGTCCTATCTGGGCATAATTTCTTTGGCCTTGCTCTCCTCATCTTCTCTTGAGAGTTCTGACCTTTTATTTTTTTGAAGACTCAGTTCATGGGTTACTCAGAGAAGACTGCACACCCAACCCGCTCCTGCCTTCTACTTGGTTGTATTTGCAGAGACCCCTAAGCCAGTGTTCACCTCCAGTGGAGCAGTCACACCATGTTGGTCATGATTTCCTACTTGTCTGAGTCCACAGTGGCCTCTGACCTCCTTGAAGGCAGAGAGCATAGCTTCTGGGGCTCTGGAGCCCTCGCACAGAGTCTAACTGGTAGTGATAAACGGAGCAGCAGTACTTAGCATTTACTGGACACCTATCTTGGACAGGCAGAGTGTTAAGCACTTTATTTGTTATAGTCTCATTTAACCATCACAGCAGCCCTTCAGATATGTAATGTTATTACTCCCATTTTGTAGATAAAGAAAGGTTTCTTGCCCAGGGTTGCCCAGTAAGTGGCCAAAAGTGAGCTTGATTCCAGGTCTCTCTAAGCTTTTTTCACATCTTATTAATTTACATAGCCTACATTTTAGACCTGATTAGACATATTTTCTCTTGCCATATTGATTAAGAAGTACTGTAAATGACCAAACCACTTCTTTTGCTAGCTGCCCAGAAAGTCAAACTCTGAACCACTAGAATGTCTTTTCACAGAGGAGTTTATTCGAGGTGGCCAGCAAGGATTTGAAGGGCTAACACTCTAAAAGCTGGTTCCCTGAATTGTGGGAGTGCTGTGATTCTATGGGGCAGCGGAGACATATGAGGAGGCGCCAGGGTTATCTATAAGTGTTTATCTTCCGGGGCGGGCGGGTTGGGGTTTTTCCTTTGGGATTAACAGCACTTAAGAACAAGCTGATGCTTGCCCTTGAAGAAAAATGCTTTAGTTAGTATCAGGGAGAGAACTTGGGAGAAGGAAGGGGGAAAAAGGTTGGTTAGAATTTAATTCTGCTTATTTCTACTTTTCTAACAAAAAGTCTAATCTACGGGTTGGTGGTAAGAAAGATCCTGCTACAGTATGAATAGGACGATTACCAATTACATTTCCTTCATTAAAACTAGCAGTGCCTGGAGAAGAACTTGCTATATCTCTCCTAGCTGAAGGGCTTTGAGGGAAGGAGGCCATTTAGATAAACCAGGTTTTAAACTTTTCTCAGGAGAGGAATTTGGTGGGGCAGGGGGAGGTAACAGTAGTTAGGCTGAATGTCCATTTCTTCACCCACATAAAAATTTGCAGATTTTTTACAAAATATTTTTTGAAATAATTACTGTCTTCATCTGGCTCATGTGCCAACTAGAAATTGCCAGTGTAAGTTAAGTGGTTTTGAGGCCTGAAATTAATTAAGCACAAATTTAGCTATCCAAGACAGACAAGTCCACAATTACTTGCTTTCCAGAGCACAATTTATAAACAAAGCACACCTTTGCAATTAAATTTTATGATAAATTTAGGCCACATTTTAATTTTGTTTAACTATTAAAATATGCACTGATCTTTACCGACCTAATTTGTCTATCTTTACTTTGTGGTTCAAGTTACTATTCCTTATTTCAGATGGTCAAGTTACCAGTGAAATTAGTGGACAATGTACGATTACGTGCTAAAAAAGAAAAAGTAGGTTAATCACTTGTATTAATATTTATAATTTTCATATTTCAGTATAATACTTCATAATATTAGTGTCTAGTAATGTATTTTAATAATGTCTAGAAAACCCCAGACCCCTTCAAAGTAGCCTTCGAAGTATCACTGAAACAGGGTGGGTAACACCCGCATTTTACAGGATGTGACTTTGCCTCACAATGTGGCGGGGAGCAGAGACAAATTCAGAACGTCAGGGCAGTAAGGCATCTCAGTCTGCTACTACAGGTGAGCCTGAGGCTCCAAGAAGCTCTCTGCAGTTTCCTGCCTGCTCCACTGCACTAAAAAGCCACATCCATTAGGGAAGTCCATAGTACCTTCACTACCTTAGTTCAGTGCCCCTCTCAATGGATTTTTGCTGATTTTACTCTCTTACCCTTAGGTTGCATCCCCCTGTGCTGCACAGCCATGACGACCGCCATCTTGGAACGCCTGAGCACCCTATCTGTCAGTGGGCAGCAGCTGCGGCGCCTGCCCAAGATCCTGGAGGATGGGCTCCCCAAAATGCCATGCACCGTCCCCGAGACAGACGTGCCCCAGCTCTTCCGGGAGCCTTATATCCACACTGGCTACCGCCCCACGGGACACGAGTGGCGCTACTACTTCTTCAGTCTTTTTCAGAAACACAATGAGGTGGTCAACGTCTGGACCCACTTGCTGGCTGCTCTGGCCGTCCTCCTGCGATTCTGGGCTTTTGCTGAGGCCCAGCCCTTACCTTGGGCCTCTACCCACTCCCTGCCCTTGCTCCTCTTTATCTTGTCCTCCATCACTTACCTCACCTGTAGCCTTCTGGCCCACTTGCTGCAGTCCAAGTCAGAGCTCTCCCACTACACTTTCTACTTTGTGGACTATGTTGGTGTGAGTATTTACCAGTATGGCAGTGCCTTGGCCCACTACTTCTACAGCTCTGACCAGGCCTGGTATGAGCGGTTTTGGCTTTTCTTCTTGCCAGCTGCTGCCTTCTGTGGCTGGTTATCTTGTGCTGGCTGTTGCTATGCCAAGTACCGTTACCGGAGGCCTTACCCAGTCATGAGAAAGATCTGTCAGGTGGTGCCAGCAGGGCTGGCCTTTGTCCTAGACATCAGCCCCGTGGCTCACCGTGTGGCCCTGTGCCACCTGGCTGGCTGCCAGGAGCAGGCAGCCTGGTACCACACCCTCCAGATCCTCTTCTTCCTGGTCAGCGCCTACTTCTTCTCCTGTCCGGTTCCTGAGAAGTACTTTCCAGGTTCCTGCGACATTGTGGGCCACGGGCATCAGATCTTCCATGCCTTCCTGTCAGTGTGCACGCTCTCCCAGCTGGAGGCCATTCTCCTGGACTATCAAGGGCGCCAGGAGATCTTCCTGCAGCGCCACGGTCCCCTGTCTGTCTATGCAGCTTGTCTCTCCTTCTTCTTCCTGGCCGCCTGCAGTGCAGCCACTGCCGCCCTCCTGAGGCACAAAGTCAAAGTCAGACTGACCAAGAAGGATTCTTGAGGCTGGCAGGTGAGGTGAGGTGTCGAGGGGAAAACTCAATATAAGAATAGGAATTGACTTTTTGTTTTCAAGAGTTGGCTTAAATTACTACATATTTCCAAGGATCTGCTATGCCTGCAGCACTGGAAATCCTAAAGGATTCGTGAGTTTTTATAATTGTCATTAATAAAAGGAGTATTCCTTTTCTCTGTCATCCTAGCCTTACAAGGCACAGGAAAGGAAGGAGCCTTTCACAGAACACTGAGTAAAAGACAACCATCTTCACACCTGAAAATTTCATAGAATTCTGACCGTGGTCTCTGGGACAAGTCCTAGAGCTGAGGGACAATGAAATTGGACTGGAAAATAAGTAGGTGGCTGGTCCACACTGTATTGGAATAACCATCTTCTTAATCTGCTGGTATTTGGTAATTGACTATTTGACCCAATGACCTGATTTCATTTGGACTTCAGGTTGCCAGGGTGGAGAAGTCAGAATCTTCAAAATGATTCTGTGAAGCCCTTAGATGGACAACTCAGTTCATTTGATTTCTGGTCCCTCCTCTTAACCCACTCTTAACACTGACCTATTCTCAGAATGACATCTGCCTGTTTGAAATGCTCTTTTCTCCTACCTGTACCTTGCATGGTACTCTAGCGGACTATGAAGCAGCTACACTTCCAGAAAATGCTTGGATTCATGTGAACATTCAGGAAAGTTCTCTCCTAAACCAATAGAAATTATATCAGAAAATACAGTGCCAAGAGCCGGCAGGAGGCCCAGCCAAACACAGATGCTGTTGGTGTCAAGCCACCCTTCTTTTTCAGACCAGTGGATATAAAATGCACAGGATGCAGGCTGACTAGAAGTCTGTTAGAGCTGCCTTACAGGCCGGGAGACATGGAGCTTGCTCCGGGGAATGTTTTCCAAATTTGGACCAGCGTGTTCAAGAGCTACTGGTAAAGTGAATTAGTTCTACGAGTCCTTCTGGGAACATGATTCTTTCAGAGGAACCCAAGGTCCATGCTGCCCCATGCAGGACCCACAAAGGTACCTGGTTCAGGGCCCTCAGATAGACAGCTGGGTCTCAACTTAGAGCAGAAACCTCAAAATAGTCAAGTCCCATAACAAGTGTGCCTGTGTGCTCACTGCAGGACATCCCTGAAGTCGTCTTTGGGTCAGAAGGTGAACTGGAGCCAAAAAGCTCCATTTGGAACATCGCCCGCCGGCCAGCAGCTTCTATAGAGGAGGGAGTTTGTGACTGATGTGTTCTGCCCACACAGCTCGTCTGAGGACCGGCTTCTGCACTAATCCAGTGAAGGAGGCTGTGTTGACAGTAGGGTCATGGAAGCCTTCTCCGCAGAGGCTACATTTCCTATCAGTATAAAATCCCTAATTACTAAAAAGGGAAGTAGTTTGCTTTCACTCTGATTTGATGAACGCTATTACTAGATTACCGTCTTGTCTTCAAATCTTTTTTTTTCTTTCTTTGAGAGATGTGTAGATTTTGTGCCTTATAAATGGTAATGTCTGAACACTTACTATGTGGCCATGTGAAAATTTCAGTTTTGGATTATGGGATAGGAAAAAAGAATTCGGTTTCCAACCAGTAGATAAAGACACTTCAGAAAACTAGAGTACCATTGCATATCTGTCACACGACTTTTTCAAATTATATTCCCCCAATCCTAGAAAATGCTATTTAACAAAAGTTTTCCTATAATCTTTATATCGAGAAAGCATGTCTTGTCAGTTTTCCTGGATGGATTTCTAATGTGACTCCTAAAATCCCTGAACGTCTGTACTACTCAAGTGTCTTACACAAGCTTCTGGTCTCCAGGCCAAATTCATGGCACATAAAGTAAGCAAAACTGAACTGCATCGAAATAAACAAGAGAATGAAAGAGCTGTGCATGTACATTGCAAGTTTCAAAGGCAGACTAGAAAGTGTTTGAAATGTTTGTAATGGTGGATTCAGGATATATTCTTTTAAAAGTGGGAAGGATAATGTAAGTCAAGATCTTACATCTTGAATATAACTAGTGGTCTGATGGACAGAGATCTTAAAGCCAAAAGCAGGTTGTTGTTGTTTTGAGAGGCAAAGAGAAAGTAGAGCAGTGATGTTTAGATGCAATGCAGGGACCAGGGCTGGTTGCACAGTGCCCGCAATCTGTGGTGCAATAGTGCAGAGAGACTAAACTTTTAGATATTGGTCCCAGAAGTGATTGGAATTTAAAAAAAAAAAAAAAGGTTCTTCACCAGAGATATTTGAGAAGCATTAAGATTGGAGACTTTCTCATTAAAAATACCAGTATCTCATTAGAAATATATATAAACAAAACCCAGATGTCTTTTAACTACTGAGATTCTTGAGGGGTTAAATACTCCTTTTAAGATATGTAAATTAATGGGGTCTTGGTAATGTCAGATCTAGGTTATTTAAGAGGAATAAATTAAAAAGTATTTCATAAAGAAGATGGTTGTCTTACTCCATCACAGCCCACATTTGACATCTTTCAACCTACTAAAATGTAAATGGCTCTACAAAAAACTAAAGTATCAATCATTTACATTTTGTGAATGAAAATTCTGATGGAGTTGTGTGTGGCCCTACTCAGGGGAGCGGAGGGGAGACAGCAGGACACAACAAATTGGGGGCATATCTGCCCTCTTTTCCTCATTCCTAGTACTTCCTGACTTGTATTTACTTAACAGCTAATGTTAATGCTTTTCAGATGTTAGGGTTTCAGTCCCGACTCAGCTGAAAGAACCTTACTCAATAACTATTCTCAATCCTCTACTGAAAACAGTAGGAACCCAGGCCATGAAATAAAGATTGTTCCTGCCTCTGTTGCCCACCTGTTCACAAACTGTACCTTAAAGCTTAGGGTTCGGTTCTTCTGTTGCTGCACTGTAGTTTCAAGTAAGTCCTCCAGATGGCACTCAAGTTTTACTCAGAACAAGGCATGGCCTCAGTCTACTAATTGTGTTGATCCTAGTGTTTTGCTTGATTGCTTGACAAATGGAACTATTTTCTGTTTATATAAATCTACTTATATGAATGATCATTAAACAGATTTTGTATATGAATTGTTGTACTGTCTATAATTATCTTTGACAAGGCCCTCAACAAGGACAAACTTTGAAAGACCCATCTTAAAGAAAAGTTTTAATCCAGACAAACCTGGCCAGGAGGAAGGTGTCAGGACACTTGACATCCACCTAGGAGTAAGAACATATAAAATCTTGAAGAAATAAAACCCACCCACCCCCAATCTCCATACCCAAGTCCCTGAAATATATACATACACACACAAACACATACCCCCAAATCCCTACTTTTATGCAGATTACATTGTCCAAAAGAAAGCTATGGAGTTGATTTCTCTGAAGACTTCAATCTAACTGAATAAATATTTCTAATTTTATGGGCAGTAGTGTTAGAGAGTTCAAACTTTTGAAACCTTGGGCTACCTTTACTGAAATCAAAAATTATTAATTACACTTTAATTGCAACCTAACAGGTACTGTAGTGCACATGCTGTGAAATGTGGAACCTGTCAAAGGATTTTGTAGCATATTTGGTTAAAATACCTGGGGGGGAAAGCTAACTAGAGGCAACTCCCCCTTCAGGCGATTGTACTTCACAGTAACCAAGAAAACAGCATTTCTCTGACTGGAGCCTCCAGAGGTAGAATTATAGATATCCTCTTACCCAAAGGAACCGGAGTGCCAGCACAGGCCCTAGGCAGTTTGCAAATGTTTGTTTTGTCACTGTTAATAGTTTAACCTCTTCAGTGATTGCTTCAGCTGTTTTTACGAGCTCCTGTTTGTAGCAGGATCCACACTGGTGCTAGAGACACCATAGTGAGGAAAGCTCAGGAGCCCTGATGGGGACAGCCGGAGGCGACTAAATGGGGACCAGCATTTTTCCACCCTGACCATGGTCTTGTTCCCAATCACAGCCCGATGGCCGGATGACCAGACCCACAGGAGCTGGGACCTGCCTTGGGCCAGCATGTTTTCTAAAGGACTGAGCTGTCTCTCTTCTCCCCAAGAGACTAGAGACATTTCTTCCAATAGCGAGATTGCCCCAATGACCTCCTCAGCCTTCCTCGTTACTCCTGCTGTGTCTCCAGCCTACTCACTGCCCTCTGGTTGTTTCCATTCCAACTTGGGTTTCTTTGACACTGAGAGAAGCCGGAAGAGATGCTGGGTTCCAAGAGAGTACAGTCTTCTGATTTGTTCAGTTGGATCTGATTTGTTCTGATTTGTTCAGGATCTGCTTGCTGCCCTCTGGCTACCTCCTATAGAAAAAACAACCACCTTTCCCTTAGGGGATTCTCATGAAAGTAATATGGAAGGAAAAGTATTGTATTTAAAAGAATTCATTTAAACAATACTGAAAACTTGAGAGCCACGTCTAAGTTTAGGGCTTTTCTTACCCATCATGATTCTTGTGGAAAGAGATATTCATTGTTAGACTCTAGGAGCCTTAACCAATTCAAAGGCTACAGAAGAACACCTCGGATTTCATCCTGTTTTATGCTTTCTAAAACCTTCAGTATCAGGCCTCCTTGATAGCGAAGGGGTTAAGACGCAACTTATAAAGCTCTCCATAGCTGCTGCAGCCCCAGTTCGATCCCCAGCCAGGGAGCCACCCACATGGCGCAGCAGACCTCTCCTGGCTCGCCTACTGCTCCCCTCAGCAGTGTATTTTGGTCAATCTGCCGGTTCTGCTCCCCACTCTGTCTCTGGTGAATCCTCTCACCCCCACCCCACACTCCTGGCCTGCACCCCAGCACTTGTATGCATAAATAAATCTTTGAAAAAAAATAAAAATAAATAAAACCTTCAGTATCCATTTCAGCTTCTAAGTAATCACATGGGGTAAAAGCCAAAAAGATATCCATTAAACTAGAAATCACACTAAGAGTGGAGTGTGGTGCAGTCACACAACTAGTTGTAATATTTGCACTCAAACTCCTGTTCCTTCAGGTAAATTCAGGATCCACCTAATCAGAAACATCAACACCAAATATTTGCAGAGTCCTGTGCACTGTAAAGCATTTTACAGTGTGTAAACTTCGGCCTAACCCCATTTTAACTTTTGATCCCAACTACCTCGTGAGCAGTCAGGGTTGTAGCATTTCCTTTTGGGTCAAAATGACTATACACCATTTCCCTGGGTGCCAAAGCATTCTTGGTGCCTCAAGATCTTCTCAAAAGCCTAAAAGGTCCACTGGCTGGGTCCTTTAGTGGCCTAGATTATAAATTCAAATCTCACTGTCTAGTTGCTCCTGCTTGAAAATACCTTTGAATCCTTGAATGAGAACCTCATCTATTATTGGTTATTTTGAGGATGATACAAGCTCCCTTGTGTCTGGGATTGTCAGTTCTTCAAACAGTTGGCTCTCCCACAGATTTTAACAACGCGATTTTTTTTTAAAACGTTTTTCTGTCTTATAGAAGAGCTATGCAGACTTAGTAGAAAGTTAATAAGGGCCTCCCCTGGTGGCGCAGGTGGTTGAATGCCGCAATGTGTCGCCGTCTGCAGCCTCTGCAGCGGGGGTTCGATCCTGGCCAGCCGGCAAGAATTCCACGTGGCGAAGCAGACCTCTCTTGTCTCTCCCGCTGCTCCCCTTGGCAATGTGTTTCAGTCAGTCTGCCTGTTCTGTTCCCTGCTCTGTCTCCGGTGAATCCTCTCACCCTCCTGCACAGCTGGCCTGTACCCTGGTTCTTGTCTAGATAAATAAATCTTAAAAAAAAACAAATAAAAGAGAAAGTTAATAAAAAGTTATTATTATTCACTTTCAAGTTATATATGTGTATTAAAGGACATGCATGAAAATAGAGGGAAAGGATTGTCTGTGAACCCAACACTAAAATTAATCCCTCTAGTGGAAAAAAGTTATGTCAAAATGTTATCAGTGCTAGGTAAGTTAGCAGGATCATATAAAACTTCCTGAAAAACCAAACTCTGGGAACCAAACATTTTAGGCAAGCTGATACTTTCATTCTATAAAATACAAAACCAATAGTCTTTGGCTCCATTTACAGGAATGCTGACATAGTTAACATTAGACTCCATTTCTGACATTACATTATGTAGGTAATTTGATGCTGTGGTTGAGATATGAGCTCTTGAACAAGCCAATGATCCATTATCTCTTGTTGAAAGAATTTTGTGAAATGCTTCTGAATCAACTCCTCAGTACTCTTCTAGAAAGAACTTCACTGGAGACAAGGCCCAGCCTGTTGAACAGGTGAGTATGTGGATTCATCAATAGTCACTCCACAAACACTAAATGCTACTAGGTACCAGGTCCTGTTCTAGGTACCAGGGCACAGCAATGGAAGAAACAAATCCATGCCTGTAGGGAGCTTATATTTTGGGGTAGAGTGAAGCAGAAGGAGACAAAAGTTGAACCAAATAAATCATGCAACAGGTTGGAAGGTGATGGTGCTAAGGAGAGATGAGAGGAAGGAAGAAGGATAACCCTGGGGTAAGTGGAGTACAATTTTGAACAGGATCAGGGAAGAGGACCACAGAAAGAGGTGAGGGAGCCAACTGCTTCTCAGGCAGAGGACGGAAGTGCAAAGGCCCTAGGGTTAGAGCACTGACAGGAATAGCAGGAGGCCAGCAAGAACTGAGATGAATCCAGTTCATAAGAGACTTTGTAAGGACTTTGGCTTTTACTATGATTTCAGGAAGGAGCATGATAGGGAAGAATTCTACCCAAGGTAATTCAGGGTAGCTGTTTACCTATAGAAACTGACTACTATTTACACATTACTCTACCGTTAGAAAATAGAGTGAATTCTGCTTTCTGCAGTCTAGATAAAGGAGATTATGGCGAAGTGATTATTTGTGGGCCTGGTCCCCTGGAGTGTGTTTCTGGGAACATAGGCTCCTACTAGCAGGACTTTTGTCAGAATCTCCTCAAAGAGCCTGTTTCAGGGCCTGGAATGTGACCTCCACTTCCCAGACAGGCTTTAAATGTTTCCTTGTTCTACTGACAATGGTTTGTACTCTCGGTAATCCTCTGGATAGAAATGCAATGAAACATCCAGAACAGAGTCTATAAACTAGAAATAATAATATTAACAATTTACATTCTCTAGTGCTCAATCCTTGCCAAGTCTTTAGCTGAGTTTTTTTCTCAGATTCTTTCATTTAACCCTCACAACCCTAGGGGGGTAGATGCTATTATTGTCCCATTTTACAAGTGAGAGGGAACTGGATAGACTAGGTAAATTTGTCCAAGACTCCTTGGCTATTAAATAATGAAACCTCACAGAAACTCAAGCGTTTGAATTCAGAGTCCATATGCTTAACCACCAAGAAGAAGTGAAAGTAAAAGTTCCTTTAATCTAACTTTCCCATAGCCAACTGTGTGAACCAGAAAGAGCATAGGGTTGGGGGATGTGGGGGGTCAGGGAGAGAAATGGGTTTTTTTTTCACTCTGATAAATAAAGGTGTGTTCTCATTTCATTTCTAGATATATTGACCTAGCAAAAGTCCTGTTGCTGTTGAAGCAGCCCCAGTAATGAGATGCTTAAGTATATTTTGTCCCAGAATTCCACAGGGACCTAGATATAGTACAAAGATTAGTCTCCAAGGCCATCTATTATCAATGAAAAGAACTTGGGGGACTCAAGGCCACCCTTAAGAACCACTGACTCTCAAGTTATTTCCCCGTACTTGTCTAGTGAATTCTTCCTCATCTTCAGGAGCAATTAAATATACCCTATTCCTCATTAAAATAAACCTGAGCATTATTCCAGATTAAACAATTTCTTTTTCTCAAAGACCATTATGTCAGCAAGTAAAACTTTTCCACTCAATGTTTTGTTTTGTTTTTTTCTCTCTAAACAAGAACAAATTATCTTGGAATGTGATTCATTTTACTATGGAAAAAATACTTCAGCATAATGTTTGTGTTCAGCCAGTGCTAATGGCAATTTAGCACTATTATTTCTATCATTTCATACCAAGTGGGGTGCTCTGGGCTCCACACAAACATGTTCCCCTCTATGTGGGCCCCTCTCACCAGAGTGGAAGCCCTCTGCCCCCGAGAGGA